TCGATATCTGTGGACATCTTCAAGGCCTTATCCTGCCCGGTCTCCTTAATTGCTTCAGTGGGGTTTGTGTTGTTTTTTTCCTATTTATAATTTATATGCATTTTGAGTTTGAACGGAGGTTCTTCCTTTTTGCAACTGTTTGTGGGGGAGTTTTTTCTCCAGTCAATGATAATTGGGCCTTTGAAGCCAAGTTGAAGGAATTAAAGGGACTTCACCTGTTTTTTGTGACTTTGTTGCTTTTGTATCCCATCCTGGGTCAGCCCACTCCCCCTGCTTTTATTTTAAAATGCGCATTGTGTGTCCTTCGATTGCATCATCACAATTGCCACCTTGACCTTTTTTTTAACCAGCAGGTGTTCTTGAGGCAGAGGCCTGCAAATATTGACTCCCCGCTTCCTTATCCATCCATACATCCGTTAAAAGCAGTACCTATATAGGAATTGCTCCCTACTGCTTCCTATAAAGGTAGTCCTCAACCTACGACCACGATTAAGCCCAACATTTCTGTTGCTAAGTGAGATGGTTGTTAAGTGAATTTTCCCCCATTGTACATCTTTTCTTGCCACAGTTGTTAAGTGAATTACTGCAATTGTTATTAGTAACATGGTTGTTAAAGCGAACCTGGCTTCCCCATTGACTTTGCTTGACAGGAGGTCGCAAAGGGGATCACATGTGACCCTGAGGCACTGCAACCCTCATAAATAGGAGTCCATTGCCAAGCACTGGAATTTTGATCACAGGACCACGGGGAATCCTGCAACTGTCCTGCAAGTGGGGGAAATGGTCTTAAGTCACTTTTTCGGTGTTGTTGTAATTTTGAACTGTCAGTAAATGGACTGTTGTAAAGAGGGTTGCAATTAAAATGATTAACAAACATGACAGATAGTCCTCAATTTACAATAGGGACCAGAATTTCCTTTGCTAAACAAGGTAAGTGAGTCGCACCCAATTTCATGACTTTTTGCCACAGTTGTTAAGTGAATCCAGCTTCCCCTGTTGGTTTTGCCTGTCAGAGGCTGGCTGGGAAGGCCGCAACTGGCAATTACATGAGCCCGGATGCTGCAACCTTTAGAGCTGCAGGCCAGTTGCCAAGCACCCAACTTTTGATGATGTGGCCACAGAGAGGCCGCAATGGTTAATGTAACTCTGAGGCCTGTTGTAAATAACTTTTCTTCAATGCCACCGAACTTTGAACAATCACTAAACAAATGGTTATAAGTCAGGAATATTCCGAAACATTTAGATGCTATTCAAGGCTTATTTCAGTCTACAACATACGATGTAAGAACTGCAACAACCACTACTGTATGTGGCACAAACAGTCAGGAAAACTGGAGAAAAACATCCACGAACACCAACTGGCAGTCAGAAGGCATGACAAAAATTCTTTAATTTCACAGCATATGGACAGATTTAACCCTAGTTTCAATTGGGAAAATGGGACCCTCCTAGACCAGGCCAAGTCCAAAAATGCCAGGGAATTTCTAGAAGCCTGGCACTCTGACAAATCAGCTGCCAATAGACACAGAGACACTAACAACCTCTATAGACTGGGCAAAAGAGACAATCAACCAGCCCAAAAGAGAACAAAAGGACTCCAGCACCTCCCATTAGGAATCAGCACCCAGATCAGCATAGATTAACTCTACGGTCAACTTCACAGGACCACCAAGTAAGCCACACCCCAACTAAAAAAAACTGCCAAAGAGCCATCAGTAAACAGCCTAACCAAAGAATCCCAAAATCCGCCCCCTCCCACACAGACTGGCAAGACACCAGAATAGAAACAAACAGCACTCCTTCCTTGCACTGATGATGCTAACTAGTTTGGGTAATGAAACGTTTGCAAGAAAACACGCAAGCTCAGAAGAGCAGCAAGGATCTCGCTTATTTCAACGCTTGCACAATGAGATGGCATCTGTAATGTGGCTTCTTAACCCGATTCTGGCAAGAACAAATTGAACAACTGAAAGACAGAAAGCGCACCCATTTGTGTGGCTTTATAGCCCTTTTTAAACCAGGGCCTGAGAAATATTTGTTAAAAGGATCTGTGGCTCATCAAGGATAAAGAGAAGCGATTCCCCTGGCTAGGGATCTCTCGTAGCCCAGGCAATTCCTAAGGCCCTTGGTGTTCTGCAACAGGGGCAGCTCCAATCGTGGCTGCCATCTTGGCATTCGTTACCACTCTTAGTAGACACCCTGGCAGACTCTGGAGGCTTAGAAGGCTCTTTCGCGTAGGCGAATGTTTGCATGGTTAAGTGTTCTTTTAGGCAAAAAAGGCTATTTTGCACAAACAATAGTTCTTATTACAGTTTTTGTAGCATTTCTTTATCTTATTTCTCAGCGAAGTGCTTACAATCTGTTTTGTCTGAAACCTGTGTTTGCCTTTTCTCCATTCTCCCTTGTCTCATCCCAAATTAAATCATTTCTCAGAGAAGCTTTGCTCCATTGAAGTCAGCCATGGTTCAGGAAAGCTTCTGCCTTTTAATAAAAAATTATTAGTCTGTAAAGCTGCTACTAGACTCCTTCTGATTTTCTGGCTACCGTTATACCGTGGCTCTCTTCCAGGTTGAGCAGGATGGAGTGTCACTTCAAGACACTGGCACAGATAGAAAGAGACATCTTTTTAACCAAATGCAGACAACAAGCCATCATCCCTAAAGGACTGAAAGTCCTCAACGATCCACAGACTACAGGGTCATTCCATGTCAAGTGGTCTAGTGGTCCCTGCTCGGCCATCACGGATTTCATTGAAATTTTATGAGAACATGCACACATTTCCCCAATGAACATTGGTGAAGTGTTACGTTTGCCGATGCAATCCTTGCGGAGATATGGTGATTTGTTTGACCCCATACCGCAGCCTTCTACAGTATGACTCTGAGGTTTCAGCACCTTTGAGACATAATATCTCCAGCAATATTTTGTTAAAACAAAACTTGGCCATCTTGTACAACTTTTTTGTGCTCTATTAAACAAAACAATAAAAACATTCTCATGAGCAATCTCCATCTAGATAATGTGGAGCAAAGTTAGCCTGAAATCATTGCAGCTCAAAAAAAGGGTAAAGTTTGGCTTTTTATATCTCTGGAAGGAAAGGTATGATAAACGTGAAACTTTACACGTAATAATTTAGCAACATAAGGCTTTCAAATATAAAATTTCATTCTCCTACTGCTTTCCAATAGTGTACAAATTGAGAGTAAAGTTGACATTTTTGTAAAAATACTAAAAAGAGGGTATTTTCAGCCGGCTTTTACAAAAAAAGACCTTCTGGACACTCTGTTAAATCATTCTCATTAGAAAGAGCATGATTCAAACCCCCTAAAAAAGTAGGGTTGGTTTTTCATCGCTGACGTATAAAGCCCTAAAAATAGGGACAAAGTTGAGGACGTTGCTATGCCAACGTCACATGCATTCTATTATTTTTTTCATCTTGTTTGTTTTATATGGGCATCATTACTACTATTACATTACATTGGTCCATGGTGACATTGTCACTAACAGTTCAGGCACTTGAACCAACAGCCCCGTCGCCATAGGGGGCACTCCCGATAGCCATGCAATACCAGCCATGGGTGGGTTTCTTGGTTCAGGATCCCAAGCCTGTATGATGAATTTTGACTGACAGTAGCTTGCTGACGTTGGTGGGAGAGAGAGAGAGAGAGAGAGAGAGAGAGAGAGAGAGAGAGATCTGATCTAACCTCTCTCTTTCCCCCTCCCTCCCTCCCTCCCTCCCTCCCTCTCTCTCTCTCACACACACACACAAACACACAGAAGCAGGGGTGGGATTCAAAGTTATTAACAACTGATTCTGTGGGTGTGGCCTAATTTGTGGGTGTGGCTCAGTGGTCATGTGACTTGCTGGGCATGGCTTGTATGTAAATATTATAAATATTTATGTAAATATTGAATTTTTTATAAAAAAAGAGCAACTTTTACCCAAAATCAGGCAAAGCAGGCAGGCAGAGTGTTGTTAATTGTCCTTACTGTTAGGAAATTTCTCCTTAGTTCTAGGTTGCTTGATTAGTTTCCATCCACTATTTCTTGTCTTGCTTTGACTCCTTCTTTATGCAGCCCCTCAAACCCTGGAAGTCTGCTCTCATGTCACCTCTAGTGCTCCTTTTCACTAGAGTAGACATACCCAATTCCTGCAACTGTCCTACATGTATGTTCACCTCCAGGCCTTTAATCATCTTAGTTGCTTTTTTCCACACTCTTCCTAGAGTCTCAACATCTTTTTTATAATAACGTTGACCAAAACTGGAGATAGTATTCTATGTGTGAAATCAAGTGTGTAAGAAGTCAAGAGGATATGAAAAAGGACCAAAAGCAGAAAGAGGCAGAAATTATTGTCAGGATACTGCAACAGTTGTAAGTGCAAGGACCAGTTGTAATTCACTTTGGATGCTCCCTAAGCAAAGGGTTGTAAGTTGAGGACGATCTTATCATTCCAAACAATGACTTCTTCTCCTCCTCTAGCTGTTCTTTCTTCCGTTATAATGTGGTTGCTTCTGCTTTCCTCAGCAATTGTAAATAAATAAATAAACCTATCAGCCTGGCAGGAGTTCAAAATGTATCTCCAAATTAGTATTGAAAGTGAGTAATTCAATATCTGTGTTATTGAGGGAGGGGAAACTGGGTGTGGGGGTGGGGAGGAAGCTTCATTAAAGGCTCTACCAGACACTGGGCTTTGCTGTCACTGCTGTTATTTTTCCCATCACCATGCAGAAAGAACCCTGGAGACCTTCTTCCAAATAGCAGGTCAATAAATCAGTGCACGCTACTTTTTTCTTCTTATAGGTCATTATGCAGCTGATTCTCAGATAGGGTCAGCTTCTTGACTGGGGATATTGGCATAGATCAGGGCTTGGCATAGATCAGGGCTGCCAGGAGGGGGAAGTCTTATTTGGCCAACTTGGCAAGATTGAGTGAATCCCTGTCCATGTGTCAATAATAACTCAATCATTCTAGGCCAAAAGTATCTAAAAAGGATTAAGATCATGGCAAATTTTGCTGCAGTTGCTGTGATTTTGGCCTTTCTTGAATACTGGTCCAAGTCCATGAAGCTCTAGCTCAGATGGCCAAAGTGCAGTCCAGACCATCTTGGTTTAAATCAGGGGTGTCCAATCTTGGCAACTTTCAGACAGATGAACATGGCTGGTTCCGGAATTCTGGGAGTTGAAGTCCCCAGGTCTTAGAGTTGCCAAGACTGAATACTCTAATTTAAATAATCGAGACTGCTAAACAGTAGCAGACACATCTACAAGCCAGAGTAAAGGGTCTTCTTGTTGGTCATGCAAACAAGATCTATGTCAATCTGGAATTAGATTTAAGTCAAATAGATGGGGACTTCAAAGGCAATCCCCCAAAAGCAGCGACGGAAGTAAAAGAAAACACCCCCTCCTCATGCTATCTATCTCCTTGATTCTAGTTCTCGTATAGTGTTATAATTGTAACTATAAACTTAATTTTTCCTATATTTATCTTTTTACTAATAAAGAATATTTGTGGCTCAGGGTAGAAGTCGGGGGTTCTTGGTGCTCTCTGAGCTTGGTTATTTTTTTGCAGACGTTTCATTAACCAGCTAAGTACCATCATCAGTGCTAGTGTGATGATGTTAGCACCGATTATGCTACCCAGTTTGGTCAATGAAATGTCTGCAAGAAAACCACCAAGCTCAGAGAACAGTAAGGACCCCTCATAACTTTTTACTATTTGTCAGCTGCCTAGAGTAACCTGATCTGTGAGAGGGGCAGCATATAAATTTAAGAAATGAATAAAAACACTCTCTTCTTTGCTCCAAACAACCTTACCCAAAGTAACATCCCAGAACTGCCACTACACGGTGAAACTGCACAAAACCATAATGGGCAGCCTTCATTTCATAGGTCCATTTTCCCACAGGGAAAACAGTTGTTCCATATCCCAGCCAGTTTCAACCGACTCCCAAATTCCCACCTCTTTTTCTTTACAACATTCAGACCAGTTTTCTTACACTTGCAAAATTTGACAATTTTACAGTGAAGAAATAATATCTTGATCTTCCAGAGCACAAGATGAGGGGCCATTGTTTTTCCACCCTGGCGCAATAACTAAAGAACCACACGGCATCTCACATTATCCTGTCATGCCTGGAGGACCAGAATGATGGAGGGCTGCAGGAATCTAGTGGGGATAGAACATCCTATATGTTTCCCTATTCTCCCAAGTCCTCATGAGGCCTAGCTAGATGACCTACTACTTCATACCAGAAGTGATAAATTTATCCACAGGGAATTGAAGCAGCAAATTGACTTTCTTCCAAGGTCCATTCAAACCTTGAAGCAGAAGCTGGAAGAGGCTTCGGCGTAGAGGTGACCAAGGCAAGAAGCCTCTTTTGATGGAAGCCTCTAAGTTTGGGGGGGGGGCCATTGGGCGCTTTCCTCTGTGAATCGGTCAGAATAGAGTTGGAAGAGACCTTCCAGGTCTTCTGCTCAAGCAGGAGGGCCTAGACCATTCCAGACAAGTGACTGTCCAGTCTCTTCTTAAAAACCTCCAGGGATGAAGGACCCACAAGGTCTGGTGGCAAGCAGTTCCACTGGTTAGCTGTTCTCATTGTTAGGAAGTTTCTCCTCAATTCCACGTTGATTCTCTCCTTGATTAGTTTCCATCTTTTGTTTCTTGTCCTGGCGCTTTGGAGAATAGCTTGACTGCCTCTTCTTTGTGGCAGCCCCTGAGATATTGGAATTCAGTTGACCACCACCACCCCTCGTGGCAACCTCTCAAATACTGGAAGACTGCTATCCTTTCACCCCAATTCTTCTTTTCTCTAGACTAGACATACCCAACTCCTGCAACTGTTCTTCGTATGCTTTAGTCTCCAGGCCCTTAATCAACATCTTTTTTGTAATGCGGTGATCAAACCTGGATGCAGTATTCCAGCTGTGACCTTACTAAGACGGTAGTAATATTTCATGTGATTTTGTGATTTTGATTCTATGCCCCTATTTATACAAAGGTTTGCATTAGCGTTTTTCCTTAGATCCCTACAGCACTTTCCAGAATAGTGACATGTGGTTATTTATTCTATCTATCCAGGAAACAACCCCTCTTGCTAGCTACGCCAAACACAAGATGCAAATGTACTTGCTGACTCTTCAAGTTTTATCTCCAACACATCATCTGTTACTACATCCTTCAACAAAGGCTGCCAGACCATAGAAAGGCCCTCTGACTCCTCAACTCTTTAACCACTGGACTCTCGACATCTTGACCACCTCCATACCATCACCATTGCAAAATGTCATAACTGCCTAATAATCTGCTTATCTTTCTTCCCGGTATTTGGCTAGGCAGGTATGAGCTGAAGAGAAGCCAACGTTTTGCCCTTGAGCAAAAATAGAATATAGCCACAAATACAGAACTGTGTAGTGGGAGGTTGGAATGTATCCTGAATAAAATAGAGATTATCAAAACCAGATATCTGGCTTGGTGCAATTTAAAACTAGCTTTAGAAGAGTGTAAATCACAGGGGGCAGAAATCTACACCAGCTGCATTAATGGGACAGTATCTAGCACTTTCTTTACTTTTTCTTTTATTCAGTAAAAAAAAACAACCAGTTGTCAAGACTCTTGCCTCTCCTGGAATATGGAGCCTCTTTTGATACAATTTGTAAAAGAAATGGTCCAAGAACCATATTATGATTCTGCTGCCTCTGTTCTTCAACCTACAAACTCTCAACTTAATGCATTTGTACTTTATAATGTACTTCATTCTTTGATCTACATTTCTGTTTTAAAGGAAGAAAGAAAAACTGCATCACAGTTGATACACAATTTCTAGCAATTTGCCTCCTTTTGAGATTGTGTTATACATGGCTTTTTTTATTTAAAAAAAAACACAAGAAAGGAGAATGTGAACCAGTCTTGTTTTGATGCAAGCAGTCATATTGCAGTGAAAGGCAATGAAAGTGGAACTAATTTCTATCACTGGACCACAGGGCTAGTAAACTAGATGGACGCTTTTGACAGACTTTACACAGATACTCCTTGATTTACGACCACAATTAGGACCAGAATTTCCATTGTTAAGCAAGGTGGTGTTTAAGTGAATCACACCCAATTCTAGGACCCTTTTGCTGCCGTTAAGTGAATCACCACAGTTATTAAGTGAATCACATGGTTGCTAAGTGAATCCGGCTTCCCCCATTGACTTTGCTTGCCAGAAACCCTGGGAGGCTGCAATGGTCACGAAAACTTCCCAGTTGCCAAGCTCCTGAAATTTGTTCATGTAACTAGGAGGGTGATACAAGCGTCACGAGTCACTTTTTTCAATGCTATTGCAACTCCAAATAGTTGTAAGTCGAGGACTACCTGGCACTCTGTTGCTTCCTTCCTCTTCCTTGGGCTAAAGCAAGGGAGATGGGTGGACTTTGTGGCTGGCTGAGAAACTCTGGGAGCTGAAGTCCGCACATCATCAAAGTGCCGAGTTCAGCTGAAGTGCCTTTGGCAATCATCTGCCTAATTACCCAACAATAACTGCACTGAAGCCCCTAATTCAAGCTATATCTGAGGCAGCCTAATTGTGATTCGATCCCCTTTTTACATCTTCGTGCCATCCGAAGCCTTTGGCTCTCCGTTTTTGGTTTTTTGTTGGGTTTTGTTTTTGCACATTAATGTCAGCGGGATCAAATATATCGGCAGCACGCCAAAAGCCTCTCATAAGGGACAGCCCCAAGTTTAGCCTGGACTACACAGGAGTAGAGTCCACAAAACACTCCCTGAGACTAGCTGCACACTGAAAATGGATGCTCAGCCACTGTGAAGGAGAAGTCCCATGTTAACATGATCTGTGCAAGCAAAGCAGCTGCACCGGATACAAGCGTCAAACTACGTGGAACGCTGCACAGGTAATGTTTGCTTTTATGCATCCGGTGTTAGGATTAAACTGGCCTTTAAAAGAAGCCCATCATCTGATGGTATGATTTTGTCTAAGTTGACTCCACTTATTTAAATGGAGTCTTTATCTATGCGTCTGTCTGTGTCAGGGCTCCAACAAATCCACCCTCGTTCAAATCAAAAGTCTCTAGCTGCATCTCAGAGAAAAGAAAATTGATTTATTAGGAGTTGCCATGTTGGCGTAAGCTGGATGCAGCCGATACTAAATTGCATCATACATTTCCCCCTTGGCCCTGGTCTTCCCCTCACCCCCTGGATGTGACTTCTCCAATGGGGGGCATCCATCCCCAAGAGTCATCCATCATGCTCTCCGATAACCTTCTTATGCTCCAACAACTTTGGGTTACCGTGGTGATTATCTAGGCGTTTAAGGAATGCCTTGTTTTCCCCCACTCCCTTTTTCTGGCAGCTAAAAAGACCAAAGGAGTCTCTTCTTAGTTGACAGCCTGTCTATCTTCATCCATCCATCTACCTAGATCTGTCTGTCTGTCTGTCTGTCTGTCTATCTATCCACCTTTCTCTAATCTATCTATTTACCTATCCAAATCTTCATCCATCCACCCACCTGCCTACCTACCCATGTGGCTGGCTAGGGAATTCTGGGAGTCGAAGTCCACATATCTTCAAGCTGCCAAGGTTGAGAAACCTTGAGCTAGTATCTTCCTGGTCCCCGTGCAGAGGAGAGAATTGCGGGGCCATTTTAAAAACAGCAAGCAAGAAACAGAAATTAAGACAGAGAACGATTCCCCCCCTCAAGAAAACTCTCAGTTGGCGCCCCAAGACAGTGCAAAATAAATGGCCCCTAACGCTTGTGCAGGATGCCCTTCCATCCTTGACCTTCCGCTTCTCTAAAATTGGGAAATAAAGGGGTCAAAGGGGTCCTACTATTGCGTCCCTGGAGGAAAGAGCATCTGCAAGCTTTCCTTTATGGAAGTTTGCTTCATCAGCTCTTCCCCCGGAAAGGCAGAGGACTAATGGCCTGCCTCCCGGGGGATCCTTCCCCATTCAGCCATCAGAAATAGGCCAGGAGGCTTAGAGAGATCTGGGCACCCTTGGTGAATTTTAAATAACTTTGCTCTGTGGCAGACCTGCCTTTTTTGATTGCTCAGAGCGCTTTTTAAAAAGCCGCCTTTTGCAGATCCAGAATGTGTGTGTGTGTGTGTGTGCATGTCAAATGGAAGGAAATGATTCTGATGAGGCAAATAACAAAATGCTCCCAGGAGGCAGGCGGGGAAACAGATCGATCTCAGCCTGGAGAGGAGGTGTCCCACAGGGCCACCTTGCTTGTCCCAGACCTCTTTGGTGACAGTGCCCTGCAAAAATAAAAATAAAAATGAAATGTCCTCGTTTCCTCCTCCCTCTGGCCCTCCTTCAAAAGACGAAAAACCATTTGCTTTCAGAATTTCTTTCAGAGAAGTA